CTTCCGGACACACGGACCTCCGCGGGATCTTTTGACTGATAATCACAGGCTGCACCGAGATAGCAAACCCTAAGGATCAATCAAATAGCGCGATTCTCTCAAAGTTTAACATCTGCTTCAACTTCACCTTCGCTTTCACCCACAGGCCTTTCTGTGGTGTATGACAGCGAGAGACTGACGTCTCTGCGCTGAGCAGATTGTCCAAGTCAGCTAACAGCGGAAGGTGCATTAGGCTTTCTCATTCAAAGCGAAAAGTGCTACTGTTGCTAGGGAAGAGAGGCAAGCGGCGCTCATTTTCTGCTGTGTGAGAACTCGTGATAGTGGCTGTCACTCCAATTCTTCTACCAGTCAAGTAATTCGTCTGAATCCACTTCAATCAGCACCATTCCCTTTGGCTCACAGATCCTTAGTTTTGTACTAATTCTCGATGTGAGAGCGTAGACAGCAAAAATTATACGCCGTCTACGGTTACGTGACTTCTGGAACTCTTACAAGTTGCCTGCGAAAGGATGTAGAGCAGATGGGCAGAGGACAGAAGCCTGTCTCAACGATGCCAGAATAGGTGGCCAACTAGGAGGAAAAGTAGCCAAGCGCTATCATTGGATAAACTGACGTCCCCGATCCTCTATGTACAATTGCACTAGGTGAAGTTTTTTGGCAGCTATTGATCAAGTTATCCCAGGTGACTACGAATTGCTACAATGCGATGCAAAGCGAGAGTGGTGTTACTGCGCCGATGCAAAAACTGGAAGGGAGGCACCGAACTCACGCAAAGGAACGGGAGAGAACAAATACATCATCTGTGGAAGTACAAGTGGGTTTATAGATACATACATGCTGATTATAGAAATGAGGCCTTAACTTCTTTTCCCTAGAACCAGGTAATTTTCTAGCGTTACGGTCGAGGAATTCATTGACCATCGCTCTCTGCTGTGCGAGAGTAGAGCCGATAGTCGCGCGGAGAGCACAGACGGCTCGCGGGTGGCGAGAGTGAATATCCGCGCGCGAGAACGTAAAGGATCAGGCGAAAATCCTCGACGTGCCGTTGAGGAATCCTCAAGCAATATTCACCCTGGTGTCGACGGCGTGAATGTGTTAACCAATTGTAATATTGCAGATAATTCCATTGACCCCAACGAACTTTTCTATGCCGACGCTATCTTACAACAGCGGGAACGCTACTCAGTCGCAAGCCCGACATGCAAACTGGACAAAAGTAAGGGCGTGGCTTGTCAAGGTCAAGGTGCCAAGCCTTCAGTTAGGGTGAGTGAATTTTTTTGTTAGTTTTTACGGGTTTTTTCACACCTACGACGATCTAGAGTAGGAGATATGTCGTGGTTAGTGCCTTTGGGGGGGGGGATAGAGCATCAGCAAGGGAGACTAATACGCATACGGCAGAACGTGAGTATTCTTGATTGGAGCAGTAATCCTCCGGGGGGGGGGGGTTGCGCCGCATTATAGAATGCTCTGAGGGCTAACTGAAGCCTTGTGTCACAAACTGACGATTACATGAACCATTAATAAGGAGAGTTGTATGTTGTATATGTTCTATTAGGTTGTTCCATAAGTAGTGTCATTCCTATTCAAACAGGAAATTTTCTGCTAAAGCTATAATTTTTTTATATCGATTCTCCACTCACACCGTTCGAAGAGAATCGTATCATGCTAAATGCTTATGATAAAGCTGTGTCATGTCGCGTTCAAGCGTTGCAATCTATTGAACTTCAGGCCTAACGGAATGCAAGCGTTCAGCGACAAAGAAAAATAGCAATGTGTTGCAAAAAATTAAGGACGAGATGGATAACATTGACATAACTTATTACCAATTTGGTGGAATTGGATGAAACTGCGCAAGTGTACTGCCAAAAGCCTTACAGTCATGGACATGGAAGTGGGCCTCATATATGCAGCGGTCGGCTTCAGTATGGAGCCAAAAGGGAGTGGCCCCATAAAACGAAGGGTTTGGTGGGACAGGACAAGAGGGAGTGTACTGAGCAGGGAGAAGTCACTGTGGAAAGTAGTGGTGCCCTTGATCACAACAAGTCTCAGAGACAACACGAGGGTGACTTTGCGCGAGAAAGAATCCCTGGGAAACTGGAAGAAGGAAGATTTGTAACGAGTGTGGTCCAGGAGTTTGATGTTGCTCACCCCATTGTTTTTAGCGCATAAGGGCAATATGGACTGCAGCTACTGCTGCCCCTAGAAGAGTAGGTGGTGGATCAGGATTAACCGCAACTGCAGGTGATTGCTACGTTGTGCAACAGACAAGAATTGACCTACGTCAGTCACAGGTTGCAGTTGCAAAAACATCTATCAGGAATTGTGAGGCACGTAATCCCAGGCGGAGCAGTGGTACAGTGACCGTATAGGCATGGTCTGTCTGACCGATGAACAGTATCTGGTGTTCGTTCGAAACCCGCGCATCGGCGGGAACATTTGCTAGGTGTCGGGACATTAGCGAAGGACCACTGATTTGGATGATTGCGTGTTCTTCCCATTCAAGATCAAATTGGATGTAAGTAGTGATTTTGGACTTATCCGCACGTGGCTAGAATAGGATCATGTAATCCACCCGCGAAATCGTTCGACATGATTGTTTTGATAGTCTATTCGATATGGTGTGGGGAGGCCTAAAGTCGGAAGGATGTACCAAGCTCTCAACTCCTGGATCGCGGAATGCTTTCTGATCGACGTTATTGTGACGCTGTACTCCTCACTTCTGTGCATCTTTCAAGGGTGCCTTTGACCTCAACTTCAATCGTATGGAGGACAAGGTGCGAGAGCATCGAGCAGCCTAGGTGGAAAACTCTTGAAAAGCGAGGATTTCCGGCGATTGGTGAAGCCTGCCCGCTTCCTCCAGTCAAATCTATGGAGCACGTGTGGCGTGCATTCAGGAGAGCTATTGTAGCGCATCCCCATGCGCCAACAATTGTCCAGCAGTTGTCAATCGCGGTCTTCAAGGAATGGATCGCTTCTCCACAAGAACTCTTAACCAACCTTGTGGCCAGTATGGAGCACGTGGCAGAGCATGCTTTGCAGTCCGTAGTGTTCATACACCCCATCAAGAACCAGCTCCTCTCTTTTGAATGTCTACCATGAGTTGGAGTAGCCTCACCTATCGACCGCTTCAGACAGGGTATTTGCAGAAAAATGTCTTTTCCAATCGCCCCTTTGCGCTTTTCTGTTAGTAACTCTCTGCACTGTACCGCAACATTTACTTCTATATATGTGCCAAATTTGGTCCACCTAGGTTAACTAGCAGTGAGATATCATGTGAAAGTTACTTCCGTCCTTAAGTTTTGCACACCAGTGTAGCTTCTCCAACATCTAGCTCAAATTCTGAGTTCAAACTCCTTATTCAAAATGAGTGAATGATGTACCCCCACCTTAATCATGAGCTGTTCTGAGCACGCCGCTATTAGGCTTCCCAACACGTCGCGTCGTTGATTTTACTTTTTCTGATTGAATTTTCCCACCTGAAGTCGATGGTCAAGCACAATCTCCTGAAATCTCCCCAAACTTTTTACAGCCGAGATATTGAAAACTAGTGGAATATTAAGAACAAGTCAGCACTAAGTTAGGAAAGTTGCTTGGTTTATTTTCTTATCTTCACGTAGGAATTTTTTCAAAGTGACCATTTTTGTGGATTGAGCTCCTCATCACGCAAGCCAAGAACTCGATCTAATACACAGAGAAAAAAGGAAGGCATATGAGCGATTAGAGGAGAAAGAGCTTCACGAACGTTATTCAACGCGATGAAATAATGGGGTTTTAGACGAAGAATTTCAGCTCAAAAATCGTTACAGCTTATCGGTCGACCAGAAAAGCCGAATTCTAACACAACACGGTAAAGACTTTTCGACAACCGAACAGCGCACTGCTTAGAGGAGTTTATGATTGAATCAAAGATGCACTATTGATTGACTTCTCTTGTGGAAAAATAGAGTTAGTTGTCGGTTTTGTTGATTTTCGTCGACTGGACCTCCTTTTCGCAGGTCTAAGTTTAAAACTCTACGACGAGTGCGGAAGCGAAACATAGCGTATCATAGAGGAAACGATTCTCTTCCGGGTGATAGATAAATTAATGTGATAACTTGGGATAATAGCAGAAAATTTTTGATTTGAAAAAAAAAACGACACTACTCAATATGTGCTATATCACATACGTTATAGAGCATGCTATTGCGAAACTTCACGTACTCAGGTAAACTTGCGGGAGAAACCTCCAAGTTACGGGCCGCAGCAGTGTCCGACACGCCCACTCGTCCGTGATTGGCTACCACCACACGGGTTACTGTGTGCAGACACGAGCCAGCCAGTCATAGACTAGTGGGCGTGCCGGCAGCATATGCTGCCGACACTGCTGCGGCCCGTAACTCGGAGGTTTTTCCTGCAAGTCTATCTGAGTAGGCTGTAATCATGATGATAAGCACTTATATTTACAACGAAAGAAACGACGAAGAAATAGGACTACGCTGAAAAGAGGAATTAGGAAAGAATAGTTATCAGAACTACGGATTAAGAAAGGACGATAGGAGCTCATTGGAATGGTTAGGGTATGAACTATATCGTCGGGCTGGTAACGTTGTGATGAGCAACTGCTCCTACTGCTTGATACTAAAAAAAAACGCAAAATTGCTCAAGGCGACAGAAAGGCGACTGAGCTAGTAGCAAACTAGCAAAGCTTCCACTCCAGGCCTTTTTTCCTTTCAAATCTCGGGTAAATGGTGCCTTTGCTAGCTGACTCGTGAGAGGGCGAGGCGTGGGAAATCACTCATCAATAAACAATAAAACATACTTAACGAATACCTTCGGAAAATCTTGCACATCTTTACTTGACATGAATGTGTCAGTTGTGATCACTGGAAACAGCACACAAAGTTTCGCGCATGAAGATTCGGTTTCCGAAGAGAAACAAACGTACAAAAACTACATATATGGACATCGAAGGTAATTCGGGCGGAGCCAAAGGCGAGGCATGGAAAGAAGTTGGCCTTTGGCCGGCTACGTCAGGCGACGCAATGAAAGAATCGGGTTAAAGCGCGCGATTTCGGAGAGTAGAGACAAATCGATCGATAGAATAGGATGGAGTAGAAGTGTGAAGACGAATAAATCGCAGAAGGCCAGGAAGAGTTTCTAGTGAAGGCACTCCAAGAACCATGTGGAAGCCTACTCTGTCCGCCCGAGTATTTGTGCGGACCCAGACTGAGTCCGTGGGGCACGAACGCGCTTAGCATCCCTTCGATGTTCCGAAATTTCAATTAGCAAATATTTCTGTTCTGTTCCTTTCTTTATCATGCAATAATGAGCCCCAAGAAGTGCTTTATGGCGGGAAATAGAATCAATAACTTTCTCCCGTGGGAAGGATCCTTTTATATCGAAATCGTTCAAACTTCATGTTATGGCAGCGTGATGGAAGCTACGGCCTGGGAGCAAGGCACCTCAACGGCCCGGGGTATCTACTTTTTGGTGCAAGCTTTGTCATGATCTCTCATCTTTACAGGACCCCAATGGCTTTCAAGCGGAGAAGACTTCTCTACGCATCATTCAAGGAAGGACCGAGAGGGGTGCTAAGATAGTGTTTCTCCCCACACAGTTGAACGCGTTGCCCATCGGCAGTGGCCTCTTTGATTATCAACTCCGGCGCGATGGGAAATGAAAATGGAGCCGATACAGATAACTTTTCACACCGTTGGACCACGAAGCCATTGTAACCGTAACTCCTTCATGGACCGAAAAAGATAGGCAGGAAGAGTCCTCTCTCGCGCGCTCTCGGTGCTCCCATGGCCCCCTAAACTCACCGCATCTCGCATCCGCCTTCGGCTCACCTGTCGTTTCATTTCGGCGCCTCCCTACCCAGCGGCCACCTCATTGTACCCTCCCCACGGGATTCATTCGCAAGCCACTTCAAATTGAGCTTGAAACAGGTACCTGGAATTACGGATGTGTCAATGGCAACCCATTCCCTGTCTGGGAAACGATCATTTGAAAATCGCCCGCTTTTCTGCGATCCTTGCGACATTACACAAACATAAATGAAAATTTCAAGACGCAGCGAAACAGCCGCACCTCCCAACGTTATCTCGCTCGGTGTTCGGGCCTTGGCACCGTTTGTATTTCGCTCTTTCGACTCTATTCGATTCCAAATAAACATTATAATGGGGCTTACAGTTCTAGTTCGATTTACAACACGCTCTACCTGCGCTAGCTTTCGATATCTTGCGCTGCGTTGGAATGCGAAACTATCGCATTTCGCGACTGCTTTTCAATTGTTTTTTCACGGATACAATTTCCTTTCGCCAAACTTCTATGAAAAAACCCTTTCGATGTTGGCCAAATCCATTATTCCAGCGGCCAATCCAATCTGGAGTGTGGCGGTACTGTATCCTTCAGCCCAGGCTGTCAATAGCGGTACTCAATCATCTGCCCACGACTAATGTTACCTCCTGGTGAGCGTTGTTGAATAAGCGGACATGAAGCGCATCTGATATCTGGCAGCAGGTGAAGCAAACGATATTGATTTGCGTACACCTCCCACCAATGTTTTCTACGTGTGCTTCACTCGTAGGGCTACCTATGGTTTTTTGGGTAAAACCTCTCAATACCTCATCAGCCGAGTGGTTAAAGGCAAAGTTCGGGCTCAGACCCACTTAATGAGCCTTTACGGTGGCTAGAAGCGCTAGGTACGCAAGTGTAGAGGTCGCGTCACTTCCCTACTTCGAAAAGCGTTACTTAGACGCTAGGCGCTAAGAACTTTGACACGCTCCACCTGTTGCGACACGCTCCGCCCACCGCTCGATATCTTGTCTGCGTCGCAATGTTGATCTGCTATGCTCTCTCTACTCGGACTTCTCTAGCGCTCTCCGCGCTCACATTATCTCTCATCTCCCTGCCGGCCTTTTGAACTTCTCCGCAGCGTAGAGCAAAAGGCTCGTATTTCCTGTGCATTTCACGATTTTTTTCTTTTTCTCCACTGGCGGTCCACTACCTACCCCTACTTTCACATTTGAGTGGAATTACCTCATAATTCAATCCTGAATCTTGCCTTTAAGAGGTTACGCTGCATGGATGAAATGGAGGGAGTCCACTGGAATCCTCTGCGATCGAAGGTGCTCCAGAACGCTCAAAGGGAAGGTGTACCGGACAGTGGTAAGGCCTGCGATGCTCTACGGCAGCGAGTGCTGGCCCCTGAACAAGAATCACGAAAGGCAGCTTCACTCTGCTGAGATGGGCCTGCGGCTGGACGCGGCTGGACAGGTCAGAAACGAGGATGTCAGAGCGGTCATGCAGACTGCCCCTGTCCAGCTGAAGGTACGGAACAGCGTCTGCGATGGTATGGGCATGTGCTAAGGAGGCCACAGGACCATCCGATAAGAACAGCGATGGACTTCGAAGTGCAAGGCAAGCGACCGCGCTTCTTCTTCGCTTTCCTTGTCTGATTTTCTAACGAATTAACACACCGATTCGATCGCGACCAGTGTCTTTTAAGTGCCGAGCCGAGCTTTGTGCCACTGTTTTGGGAAATACCGTTTTGCTCACAACAGTTAAACGGTACGATAGCATAGAATAGCACGAAGAGGTGGTCGCCGATGAAAACGAACAGCTCAGGCGGTAAGGGTGCAGTGGTCAAGAAAAGGCTAAAAGAGACGGCCTGAAACCTGCAAAGCGGGATTCCTGTTGTGAACTGCAGATTTTCGTAATGAATGAGTCACATCGGTGCTGACGTCATCAAGGTAAATGCTCTGTTCTGCCTCCCTGCTGACAAGGCTAGAGTCTGACGGCTATGGTTCTGATTAGCCAATTGGGGGGGAAGGGGTGGGGCGGACAGAGGGGTCGAAGGAGACGAGGAAGATCGCTACTACCTTTCGCCCGCGATGGCGTTATGTTTCTCTTCCTGGTGGATCACAGTTTCTTTATAAAAAAAACACTTTTGCCATTATTCAATACGTAATTTATGTGCCACCCGCCTTCAAATTTTTAGTCGTGGGATGCATAATGTGGGATCAGAGGACTGGGTACATATTAGTTAGTTCGGGATCTTTGCAGCTGATTAGGTTTTAGTTCCTACATCTTCTTGGGCGGACACGGTCCGATATCAATATACTTACCTTAGGGAAGCTCATCATTCATTGGTAGCACCAATTCCAGCTCAGCCAATTCACTTTCTAGACAACAAAAACACTCAATTGTTAAATTTTTTAAGGTAGCGTATCAGTGCATCTCTTTAGCTGTATTTGCCAGGCACAATTATTTCCGACAGCTTCTAACCGTTAGATATGTCCTGCTTGCGATTCAGTAGTCA